AAATATTTGTAGCCCAGACATAGACCAGCTTACTCCCAGTTCCCGAGTGGAGGTTACTCTCCATCTACAAAAGAAGGGAGCCCCCTCTGTCTTACACCTTAAGGTTTCCAGGGGTCTCTGAGTAGCTCCTGAAGTTCCTTAATGCTGATGTCCCAGGAAAATGCTTGATGTTTTGGGCCTGGTGAAATGCAAATCAGCCTTTTAATTCTGAACTCCCCACCCTAGAGGAGCAGAGCGGAGGCTCACAGTCTCCAAAGCTAGATACTCTCAAATGAGTAGCTTTATCTTGACCATCCCTGACTCCAGACCTTCTCAAATGAGAAGGGGTTGCTGAAGGTTAAATCTCAGACCACTTTTCTCCTCTAGGACCTAGACACTGAGAAAAGGGATAAGAGGGTCTGAGAAGACTCTCCTCCTCCAGCTGGCTCAGGAAAGCCCCCCTGCAGAAGACAACTGCTCCTCTGAGGCCCACTTGGAAGCAGTTCCTGGACTGGGTGCTTCATCTGCATTATCTTGTTAGTTGTCACAACATCCTCTGGAAGCTGGCAGTGGCAAACCCATTCTACAGATACAGATATCGAGGGTCATAGAATTTAAGAAAATGTCCTTTGAGCTCAGAATTAAAATATGGAACATTAGTAATGGGCATGGGTGAAGATGAGATTGGGGGCAGCCCAGGAGATGGGCTGATGCTGAGTCTTTGGCTCCTCTAGCTCACATTAGGAGAGTGGAGAAAGTATCGCTCTGGAATCTGGTTCAAGCACACTGATTTTTGTTTTGTTTTGTTTTTTTGAGACCAAGTCTCACTCTATCAGCCTGGGTAGAGTGCCATGGCATCATCATAACTCATAGCAATCTCACATTTTGGGGTTCAAGTGATCCTCTTGCCTCAACCTCCTGAGTAGTTGAGACAACAGGTGCCTGCCACAATGCTTGGCTAATTTTTCTAGTTTTAGTGGAGACAAGGTCTCCCTCTTGCTTAGGTTGGTCTCAAACTCCTGAGATCAAGCAATCTACTTGCCTCAGCCTCCCAGAGTGCTAAGATTACAGGTGTGAGCCACCACGCCCAGCCTCAAGCACCCTATTAAAGAAACCAAAGGTCTTTGAATTTTCCTATGAAGGCCAAAATCCTTAAACTCTCTGAGCCTCAGTTTTCTCACCTGTAAAATAGAATCAGAAAGGAGATGCATATAAAAGCATGTAGTTTGGTACCTGGCACCAGAAGAGTAGGGACCCAGTGAAAGGGACTCTCTGTCTCACCTGGCCAGGTATTCCACAGGGAAGGGCCCCTGGGATGTCCCCTCCAGCAGCCTTGCCTCTCTCAATGGGTGTTTCCAAGGTCGATCTTTGTCCTCCAGTCCGTGCCCCAGCCCTAGGCAAATGCTGCGGTTTCCACGCTTGTCTCAACAATGCTGCTACTCCAGACAAAACCTAGACTAGACTTTTCTTGTAAATATTGATGGAAGCCCCAGACCGAGAGGAGCGAGAAAACAAAGGACGTTTTATTTATGATAGAAAAAGAAAGCAACAGAAAAAAAAAAAAAATAAAAAAACTACAGGCCCAACAGGAGGAGAGAAATGTTTAAATAAACCTCGGTACATTCACTCGATGGAATAGTGTGCAACAATTGGAATGATGTTTACTGAGGGTTTGTAATAACACGGGGGAAAGCTTATTATAAAATGCTAAGTAAAAAAAAAAAAAAAAAAGAAGCAAGTGAAAGGCATATTTAGCATAATCACACCTAGGCAAAAATCTAGCCAAACAAAAACTACACACAGAAGGAAAAGACCAGAGGGGACCTGTGCCACAGTCGGGGGTGTCTTCAGGAGGCCGAGTGGGGGAGTTTTTTTTATACTTTTCTCTATTTTTCTTTCTTTTTTTTTTTTTTAGCATTTAGTTTGTTTTATGTTTCATTTTCTTTCTGGAGTGGCATGGTTGGCTTAAAGTGGAAAGCAACCCCAATTTAATTACTGTTGTTATTATCGTTCCTAAAGACGAAAGCCCTTGTATTGGAAAAGTAGCACAGATGACTCCTGGGAAGCCAAGTGACACTGAAGCCACTCTGAGGTAAAAGGCAGGAGGTCAGCAGAGCCCAGGCTACTGAGCAAGTTAGCAGGGAAGTCCTGGACTCCGCCCCCATGAAGCCAATACCAGCAGGCTGGTACCCAGCTGCACACCTGGGTTGGTGTCTGCCACAAAGGTAACAATGATACTCTCATCCCTATGTGTGCAGACTCTGCTTCTCTCCTGGGGAATGTTGCTTGTTCCCTTCCAAGGAGTCTCTTTTCATAAACGTTGGGGTCACTGAATTCTTTCCTTCATGCCAAAGGCTAAACCAGGATAGCTGGGCCCTGACTTTCTTCCTGTACTGAGATGATGCTCCCGGGAGGATGCCTGGCAAAGCCCTGCCAGAGGCGGGCCTCACCTGCCCATTCTCTGAGCTTGTCCTGGTCTGTGCAGCTCCCACCTTTGCATTCAGGCCCCTAGTTCAATGTCATCTCATTGAGGAGGCCTGATCTCATGACTTAAAAGAACAACCCGCTTTCTCCGCATTCCCAGACCTGCTGGCTCCTTCGCATGCATGGAGCATAGCTTCTATTTATTGTGTTTGTTTTCAAAAATTGCCCATTTTTCTCCACTAGAAGGTGAACTCCACTAAGGCAGGGCCCTGCTGTATCTCTAGCACTTAGAACCTGCCTGGCCCTACCCAAACATTCTGTAAATGTTTATTTCACAAGTGAATAAACAAACCTTGACCACCATGCCCTCAGGAGTCTTTGCAGTTCCCAAACTACCTGGCTTCACTGCAATGGCCTCAACTATTCCTGAAATCCTGTTCTAGAGCCCCAGGCCATGAGAAGACACACACCTGCTCTAATATATTGGCAGTGACTGCCCACGACACTGTTCAGACAGTTACCCAGACAAGGTACAGGGTGATGCTGCTGTTGAGGCTACAGGGAGGTAGGTTAGATGAACTGTGTCCTTCTCATCTCAGCCCAGCCCCAGAGCTCTTCCTCTCATTGTGAAGACCACTCTCACCATCGATTGGGGTTGGAAACAAATTTTGCTGCCTTATTGTTGGAATCATTTCCCTGGACCCTGCCACAGGCATGAGGTAGGCTTTGCAATGTTTGCACATAGTGATCATTTGTCCCTCCTAGGCTTGGAAGCTTTCTTTTACTTTACCCAGTCTGGATGTGATCTCGTCCTCTGCCTGGGTCCTCACCAGAGGCCTGCCCTTGGGGCCTGGGGCTGGCTCTGCCTGCCCCAGCTCCTAGATGGGGGGATCTCCTCTCAAGTGAACCCTTCCCCCCGTCTGAGATCACAATGCCAATGTCTCCTGTGAGTCTTGTCACCAAAGCCAGCCTCCCCACCCAAAGAATCCCTTGGCGGTTCATGCCTGAGTGTTGACACTGAGCTGGAATGTGGCTTTGGCTGGGGAGAGGGGGTCATTCTCCCCAGGGACCAGCCAGGTCCCAGCTGACTTTCCCTTCCCAGTCTCCAACTTAGGGCTAAGCTTAGCTGCCTCATCTTCCCAGGCCTTGGTGGCCTTGTGTGGTCCAGAACATCCTGTCCTCTCATCTCCACACCAACCTGCTTCTCATCCTTTGTTCCAGTCCTGATTCTTCCAACCAGCCCCACAGCCTGAGCCCAGCGCTCGGGCTGGCCCCACCTGCAACTTGGGAAGAGCTTCCTCTGCAGGCCATTGTCCCCAAGGTGTGCAAGGACAGGAATTGTTCTTCCCATTTTCCAGATAGGGACTCTTATTTTTTCCCTTGTCAGGCCCTGCCATGATGTCCCTCCCTGTCCCCTGGCTTATGGCTGGGACCAAGAGCATCACTCTTTCCTGTCTGTATCTGCGTCTGCCTCAAAGATGGGACAAGGGCTGTGGTGATAGACTGGACCCGTCTCTCTCCTTTCCCTCCCAGAAGAACAGGTACCTTCCTGAGGTTTGGGGTCTTCTCCATTCCAGAATTTACTAACCCGAATGTGATAGCAGGTCCAGTCTCAGGATGTGCCACTAGCATTTCCTGGTTCCTCAGCTCTGTCATGGGCCTGTCCTTCCCTGGTCCTCTCCTGCCTGATGAGGCAGACCAGATGGCACAGGGAGGGCTGTCACCTCTCACCAGCCCTGGTGACTGGTAGTGGCTGCTCCTGCTTCCAGACAGGAGGGCTGAGATGCCAGGAAGGATTCTGAGACCAGGGAAGGGGTACAGTGGTCAGCGAGAGGTAACAGGAGCAGGGCTGAGGAGGAGGGTGGCCCCCGGATCACAGCCTTTCCTGAGATTTCAGTTGCATCCGTAGTAGACTCTATAAGAACACCTCTTATCATGGATTTTCTCTTCCTCCCCGTGATGAGAAAAGCAAAGTGGACTTTGGTACATTTACTCTGCTACTGAGAATTCCCATGGGACTTCACCTGTCCTGCTCACCTCTCCCTCTGGCCAGGTTCCTTCCTGGCCCTGCCCAGGTCTCCTCCCTGTGTCTTTCCCACCTGTGTGGCCCAGGTGCTTCTGGGAACTGTAGAGGTGGGGCCCCGTAGCTTAGTGTTTGTGAAAGGGCACTGGTGGCTTAGAGGCTGGCCTCTCTCCAGAGGGACCAGTTTGAGGGGCTGCTGACAGTCAACTGGCACTTGGAACCGTGGCTGTAATAAGATCATATCTCTGAGTGTCTAGTAAATTCCCCTAAGAATCCCGAGTTGGAGTGAGGTGGTGGTCATTCTCCCTGCAGACACAGATGTCTTCTGCCCGGGAACACCGGCCCCCAGCTCTTTTTCATACTGTGGGCTCTGCAGCCCTCAGAGGATAAAGACTCATCTAAGAACCACACCCCCAGCCGCCACTTACCCAGCAGAGGAGGTAGGATTAGAATTTGCCTCTTGTTGGCCAAATTCTGGGTCTGCCTGACGGCCCAGAAATGACCCACAGAACGACAGGCAAGGCTGGTGCTCACCACTTCCCAGCTTTGCATGAGGAGCCCAGCAGAGGGGCTGCTACACCCTGGTGTGGGGCAGATCGGGGGTGGGCAAGGTCAGGACCGCAGGCAGGAGGGTGCCCTGCGGGGTGGGGAAGCTCTGCAGCTCCTTGGACACAAACCTGGGCGAGATATAGTCGGCCAGGAAGCAGAGTGTGCGCCGGCGCCCTACACAGTAGATGAGGTTGTCCACCGCGGCGCACTGGAAGGCGTCCGGGTAGGGCGTCCGGTACGTGGCACACTCATACCAGAGCCGGGTGCTGGCGCTGCAGCGGTACACACCGATGCCCAGGCTGCGGTTGAGGTCAAAGCGGTAGAGAAAACCGTTGACCGCCACCATCTCCACCGTGCGGTCCTTGCTGCCACCGGTGGGGCCGGCCCACCAGCGCTGCTCCTGGGCGGAGAAGCGGAGCAGCAGATACCGCAGGGTGCCGCCGGTGACGAAGATCTCATCGGCACACGCCGTGGCTGTGTGCGCCAGCGCGAACGTGTCATTGGGGAGCGGCGGGGCAAAGGCCCAGCGGTCCAGGCGAGGGTCATAACGCTCGACCGTGTTCAGACACTCACCCCCGATGGCGTACAGGTGCCCGTCCAGGGCCACCAGCCGGCAGTGCGGCCGGGCCTGGTTCAGTGGGCACACTTCGCTCCAGATCCCGGTCAGCGGGTTGTAGCAGAAGACGCGGTTGGAGGGCTGGCGCCCGGACCCGCGGCAGCCGGACACCACGAAGAGATAATTGAAGAGACTGCAGATGGCACAGCCCCGGGACACAGCCTCGGGGGGCAGCTGGGCCAGCGGGTGCCAGACATCCCTCTCATCGTCATAGCAACAGAGGCAGCCGGAGTCCTCCTGGGGGCACATGTCAGCTACCACCAGGTACTTACGGCCCCTGAGGCGTCGCTGGAGGATCAGCTCCCGCTCAGCCCCGCTCAGGCACCCGTAGACCTCGGGGCTGCGCAGCACCTGAAGGTAGTTGTCGCTCATCACCTTGTAGGCCGCCTCCTTCAGGGCCTCCAGGTTCTGCCTCTTGGCCAAGGTCAGCACCTCATGGCAATTGCCCAGATCCAGGTGGACATCTGGGTCTGAAGCGGGAGTGAGTGGGATGTGAAAGAAATTGGTTCCCGCCACAAGCTGCACATGGGGCTCCCTGCCGTGGTCTGGGCAGGGTGGAGTGGGGACACCGAAGACACCAGGCTGTAGCTGCAGCTGCAGCTCTGGGTTCTCTGCTATCTGCAGGAGGCTGTCCTTCCTGCTAAAACCTCGGATGGAGGGACATGGCTCAGGCTGGGAGGAGGCAGCTGCTTCAGGTCCACCTTCTGAGTCTTTGAGTTGACCTGGGGAGGCTACCCCTGTTCCCATGGGCCTGGGCAGTGGTCCAGGGGATGGAGCCTCAGCCAGGGCTGTCCTGGGGGCCAGCCTTTCCCTGGAGATGGCCTGAGAGGTGGATTCCACGTAGTAGTCATACACCTTGCCCTTCAACCTGGGCCCGACCCCCTCCACCTTCTGGATGAAGTTCTCTTCCATCCGGACTCGAGCCACGGATGAGAAGGTGTAGGCGGCATTGGTGGGCCCCTCCTGCTGATGCAATGACAGGCCCACATCTGAGGCAGCCTGGAGAGCCCCCACCTCTTCCCTGCTGACCCCCGTCACACGGGTGAAGACCCAGCTCTCGTTCATGTTACCGTTGCCCTCCTCAGTGGCTGTGCAGAGCTGGTGGGCAGGTCCCAGCTTCCCGGGCAATGGCTGCTTGGGGGATCCAATGCCCTGCCATGGGGCAGGCTCACCACCCACACAGCTGCCATCCACTGTGAGTCCAGTGGGGGAGAGTTTGGGTTCACAGCCCAAATGGGGGCAGTGGGGAGGGCCGGGCTTACCGCCAAGAGCTGTTCCGGCTTCCTGGCTGCAGCAGTGAGGAGGCACCTGCTCAGAGTCTGGACGCTGCTCCCCCGACTCCTGGCCAGAGCCTTTTCTCCGGGGCTTGTCTCTGGAGGTGGCCTCTGTTGCCAGGAGGCAGGAGCCTCCCAGATTATCCCAGCTGCAGTCCAGGGGTGCTCCAGCCCCTTTGCTCACCCTCCGGCGGCGTCTCGGCACCCTCTGCAGTGCCCCAGGAGAAGCCCCCTGAGTGACAGGCTGTCTCGTGCCCTCTGCTTCCTCTTGGGCTTCAGCTTCCGCGTTCCCACCCTGCTGCGGAGCTGGGGCAGGCCTCGACTTGTACAGTCTGTAGGCTGCGGTCAGCAGGAGCAGGGCAGCGGCCGATAACATCACCTTGCCTGTCAGCTGCATGTCCGAGTGCCAGTCCTGAGCTTCTGCTCCTCTGGGAAGCATGCTTCTCCAGCCTGGGGCTGAGGAATGTCAAAAATCCAATTAATGATTGCCCAATAGAGGCCGGTTCCTGGATCCTGCTGAGCTGAGGGGAGGGTGTTCTGGGCTGGCTCTGGCCAGCTGAGGAGTTGAGCAAAGGTGACTTTGGGGGTGGCCAAGAGCTGACAGCAGGCCACTGGCCTCCTTTGATTTTTCCTTGGCTGTGCAGATGAGGGTCTGCCCAGGGGCTGAGCTTGTGACCAGCCACCTGAGCCAGCTCTGCAGCCAGCGGCTGGGGGACATGGGAGGAGTGTCCAGTGGGTACATAAAGAGCAAGGAAGCTCTTAGCCAAACAGTCACCCAATGCCAGGAACTGCACGGGGCTGGTTACTCTGTGCTTTCGTTTTCCCTTGCAAATCCACTGGACGTGGAGGCTTGGGTGTGGCGGGTCGTGGGCAGGTGGAGCCCAGGTAAGCGTGGCTGGGGTCTGTGGGTCCCCAGTGTCAGATCTACATTTAACTGGTCAAGCAAGGAACATAACAGGCTGGAGCCAGGGACCGCAGCCAAGCCACCTGACCTGGCCTTGACTGCCTCTGTCCTCTTTCCCTGCCTGACAAGTTTACTAAAAGAAACTGAACTTCCTGAGAGCAGTTTTGGAAAACATCTTGCATTAGCACCCAGATCAGGGGTAGATGGGGGAAACGGCTTCTCCCTTACAGCTTGGACAACCTCCGACGGTGAGAGACTGAGGGGAGACCCACCTCTCCCAGGCCCCTCCGCCTTGTCACCCAGTGCTGTGGGTCCTGGGTCCAGACTCCCTAGTTCTGCCACTTACCAACTGTGTGACCTCAGGCAATTGACTTCACCTTTTTCAGTTCTCTGTGCCTCTGTTTCCTCACCTGAAATGTTGGGGACAGCAGCATCCGCACCCCATCAGCTAGTGCTGGGAACAAAATGGGCCACTGGACGTGAAGTGCTGGGCAGAGCCTCCGCTGTGAAAGCTCGGGGGCTATCAGCTCTTCTCTTTTCTCTCCTCTTCCTCCCCTTATTCCTTCTTTTCATCACTAGTATTAATCATCATTCTCAGGCCCTTCCAAGGCACAGACCTTATTCTACCCCCTTGCTGATCAAGAGCTCTCCACGAGTCCCCAAAGGTCAACACAGGGGTCTCTTGCTGCCTGTGGGGTCTGGGCAGGTGCAGTGAACAAGTGAGGACCCTCCCGGCCGAAGGTGCCGAGTGGGTGGCCCAGCATGTCCTGATCATCCCACAGTTGCAGACAAGTTTAGGGTCTGGGTAGTGTTGGGATCACTCTTAACTTTTAAATGTTGTCATCTAATTGAAAAATGAACATAAAAACCGCTCTGGGCCAGAGGAGACACATGAACGAGAGGAATTTGTCTCTGAACTCTTCGACTACAGGAGAAAATCCGACTCCTGCACTGGCATTCACAGTCCTCTGCACACCAGCCTTGGTGTACCCTTCCAAGTCCATCCCCTGACTGCTGCCCAGCTTTCTGGGCTCAGGCTGACTTCCTGGCAGGCAAGGTCTCCCTCGTCTGTCCTTGTCCACGCCCTTCTAGCCTGTGAGAAGTGGGTCCAAGGTCGTGTCTCCCAGGCCTTTTTCCCAAGTGTGTCCATCCTTCTGAGATCACCTTTCCCCTCTTTGAGTCTCCTGATTAAAAATGCTCCTCTCTCAGCCTTCATCGCAGCTGCCCCGTCACAAAGTGCATCATTGCCAGAATCTGCTTCCTGCTGGATCTTGAGCCCTGAGGACGGAGGCTGTTGCTCGTTCCACTGTGGACCCTACCATCTATGTGGGGCCCTGCAAAACTGGGACAACAACTAGCATGGACTGTGCCTTTATGCTGGGTGGATCTGGGGTTGGGGGGTACTCTGGATGAGTCTCATCTAATTGCACAGTCCCTCTGGGGAGAGACACGGTTGGTATCCCCATTTGATGGTCGTTGGAATCAGACTTCCAAGGTCACGTCAAATTCTTGTTTGCAGAGCAGAGTTTTACAGACGTGACCTCATCCAACAGCTTTGCCTTCTTACACTGTCCTACTGGCGGCTGGCAAGAGGGGACTCTGGGGCTCCCTTTCTTCTCATCATGGACCGAAGACTGTCAGTCCAATGGGCACGAGCATCAGGAGGGACGCGGATCAGGGAGGCACATTTCTAAGCTCCACCTGTTGCAAACGTCCCGGGAGACCTCCATTTGTAACTATCACCTCGGGAGATCTCCGTGGGTCTAGGAGTGAAAAGTAAGCTAGCTTCTCTACTCGTCTCCTGAAAATTCCTCTTCCCCCTCAGGGTGGTAGGTGAGCAGTTGCTTCCTGAATAATCAAAGTGAGTCGCAGAGAATGGGAATGCAGTTCTGAGTGCTTTGCCTCAGTACCATTGCTTACTCTTCCAGTAATCTGGAGAGGTGGATATTGCACAGGTAAGGAAATTAGGGCTCAGCGGGACAATGCCCATGGGCTGAGCATGGCCTGTCCTGATTTCTAACCTCTCTGGCTGCTTAGCCTATCATCTTCCCCGGGAAAGAGAGGACGAGGCATTAAGGGTGATGAAAATGACCCGTCCAGGGTTAAAAAATGCTTCATCGGGTCTGACGAGGGGTCTTCCAGTTGCCAGGCTACCATTCCAGTGATAGGGGCAGATTTGTGGCTCTCGGAGAGTGGGAGACATGTGACACGTCCCCTTGGTGAGCTGTGATCTGGCATTGTCCTGTCAGATGCCACCAAGTGGACACAGTCTTGAGCCTTTTAATAAAATCTCAGTTGTGCCCTAGAGCCCTCTCCCTGTGGCTCCAGCTTAAACCCTACAAATCAGATGATCAGTCTTTCCATCTGGAAAGCTCCTGGTGCTGGACGTGCCTGAACCAGCCCCGGGGGGTGAGGTGGGAGGTGAGAGGATCATTGGAAGCAGCAGATACAGTTCTGACCCCAGGGAAATGTTTGTCCCTCACCCAGAAGATGGGGCATATGCCTAAGATATGATCAAGCCACAGTGTATCCCAAGGAAGAAATTAATGAGGTGGTTTATCAGAATCAAGGTCAGGAAAGAGGATTTCGCTAAGAAGTGTTTAGAATCGGGTACTGAGAAAGGAAGGCCATGTGTTGGTTATAGGGAGGTAGACGAAGGAGACAGCCACGACCCCTGCCCCTGGAGGCTGGTCTAGTGGGGGAAGAGGTTGGGCAAGGAGATGGTGGGCGGTGATGATGCTGGTTTGTGAAGGTGTCCGTGGGAAGATGAGGCAGAAGTTCCTGAACCAGGCTGGGATGAGAGAGCGTGGAGGGAGCACTTGGTGTGGCAGGAATGGGGAAAGATAGTAAGGCTGGGAACTGCGGGGGCTGTGGGAGCCACAGCAGAGCATGGAGGCCCTGCAGAGGGGAACTTGGCCAGGGTGTGGGGTCAGCTGCCCCTGATGTGAATCCTGGCTCGGTAGTTCCCATGACCTCCCTTGTCTGAGGACAGAAGTAAAAGCTTGTGAAACAGCTGGGTGCTCAGGACACCTTCATCAAATGAGGCTTCCTGCTGTCTTCCCTCCGTTCCAGTTCTCAGGAACACAGCCGCCTAAGAGATGGGGTTAAACTGTAGGTTTCACCATTCAGCTATGGTGGGGCCCTGGAGATGGCTGCCATTGGGAAGACAGTTTGTTACTCACAGCTACCAGGAGGAGGAGACAGGCCACATCCGGCAAGGGGAAGGCAGCAGAGGGGGTGAGGAGAGGGAGAGTCTTTACTGAGGTTTTTGCAAGAAGGGATGAGAGAAGCAGGGTAAGCAGGTTTCGGATTGGCACATGTGAAGAATTTTAGCGGGCTCTGGGCTGTGTTTGGTTGTTTGACACCTGGGGCCTGGGGCGATAAGGGCAGCAGGGAATATTGGCCCAGAGTGTAAGAGCTCCTGAGAGCTGGATGGGGAAGGGGTTGGGATGTGGCTGTGTGTGGGTGGGTTTGCCTGAGAGAGTTCCCTCCTGAGTCAGTCATTTGCTATCTCAGGAACTAGCTAACCTCGGGAGGGGTGGTCTCTCCCGTCAGAGAATCCCCAGCTGGTAATTCATCAAGGATACAGAAAATAAGAAAATACAGTTAAAACAGAGAGGCCAAAGGATAGAAAAGAGTAAGGACTTTGGGGCCCCTGGGAGGCGGCCATCTTCCTTGTAGGGCAATTGGGAGGTAAAATTTTGTCTGTACCCCAAGGTCTCATTTTATCAGGCAGGTGAACACAACACTCTTGCTAGTTGACTTCAAACTCCGTAAATTACAGCTTTTTTTTTTTTTTTTAAGTCCCTGTTTGGAAAAAGTGAAATGAACAAATAAAGACAGGAGTGAAATTAAAAGATAATTGGAAGTCTATATTGGGCTTCTGTGAATGTGCGTGCGCGCTGCCAATCTGGTCTCTGTGCGGGCAGGATAAATTGAGAACTCTTCGCTTGGCTCAGGGGGTGGATAAAACAGTCAGAGACAAATGCGTGCCATGCAAATAAACAGGCCCATCTTCGTGTGATTTGCTTTGCATTCTGTCCTAGCAGGGCTCTGCCTTGGTCTGCTCAGCCCATAGGGGCCATGTTTTCAAGGTGAGGACTGATGCCACTGGGTGGGTGTGGCAAGTGAGGCCTGGAGTAGAGGCAAGAGGCTGGGAGGAGGTGGGTGTGGGCACCTCGGGAGGGAGGGCATGTGCAGAGAGGGGTGGAGGTGTCAGTGGGTTTTGGCACACCCATGCATCCACATGCACACACCTGTGTGTCCATGCATGCATGCACAGGTACACACACATGCACACACACAGAGAGGTGGGAGTGAGGTTGTGGATCTACTGAGTATAGAAAATGCAGAAATAAATGGATCCCAGTTTGACACGGGGGAGACTGAGGCCTGGAGAGGGGATCCAGTCCAGCTTGAAATAGAACATGGCATCTGGCAGGGTCTGGGGATTGGATGGGGTGGTGAATTCCTGCTCATACAACCCATGGGCCCTTTCTTGGATAAACTCTCCTAGATGTACTTGGGGCTCTGCT